ATATATATATCAATATATATATATAACAAACGATTTTCAATCTCTCATACTTACTAATGTTTCAAATTTATATATATATGTATATATATATTTGTTTGATATATATATATATATATATATATATATATATTATATTTAATAAACGATCTTCAATCTCTCATACTTACTAATGTTTGAAATTTAAGGTGGACGAATGGCCACAGTTGCTTCGGCGGCGCAAGGAAGTATTTATCGCGATCGTTTGCGTACTTTCTTACATTATTGGGTTATCCTGTATCTCGCAAGGTGGCATGTACGTCTTCCAAATCTTAGATTCGTACGCAGTATCTGGCTTCTGTCTTCTTTTTCTAATTTTTTTCGAGTGCATCTCGATAAGCTGGGCTTTCGGTGTTAATCGATTCTACGACGCTATAAGAGACATGATAGGATATTATCCTCTTATGTGGTGGAAACTATGTTGGACTATTACTACTCCCATGATTTGCGTCGTAAGTGTTTATGTTTTGCATAGAGACTGCTTTCTAATTTCTGGCGTGCACTTGTGCTTCAGGCTAATCTTTAATTTAAACGGAAGCACACTAACGTTCGTTGTCATCCTCCTCACACTCTGAAAATTTCCACAGGGCGTTTTCATCTTCAATCTCATACAATGGACACCTGTAAAATATTTAGACTATGAATATCCATGGTGGTCGCACGTGCTTGGCTGGATGACAGCCTTATCTTCGATGCTTTGCATACCTGGTTACATGATTTACGCTTGGATGACTACACCAGGGGATAGGTCCACGGTAAAATCAAAATAGACTTATTGTTCCTTCCCAAGATCACATGAGTTTCTCAACTTATGAAATATTTAACGATTCTTCATTGATCATTGATCCTGATTGCATCTTTATGTTTAGAAATACAAGTTGTTAGTGCGGATAGAAGACGACGTGACAAGTCTACGAATGAAAATGGGTCAGCCGTCAGTCGAACTGACACCACTTTAACTGCCACGGATTCATTTCAATCCCAGAAGGGATTTATTGTTTTAACATTATTTGATATTTTCCAACTGTCATTAATTTAACGATGTAACGACAACGTTCAATGTTACTATCTCGAAGTAATTTCTGTTTATAAAATTACTTCCTCTCGTTCGTTCGAAGGAAAAAGAAGGACTTTTGTTGTGTTCCTGTTTATCAAAGAAATTCGTACATTATTTAAATGAACTTTTTTTTTTTGTAATCGTCTAGATGATAATTTGTTAGATTCTTATTGGAAGGAGGTTCGCATAAAATACGAGGCAACTAAAGTGTTCAGAATTGTATCTAGTTTTAGCTTAAGTACGTTTAGTATAATTTAAAGTACACGAAATTTTTAGCATACACGAATAGTTCATAAAAGTGCATTTAGGATGCTGTTTTGTATTCTTGAAATCAATTCGAAGATTAGAGGAACCTTTAAGTACTTTATAAGTGTTCGAAATTCTGAAACTATTTGTGTTAGCCTGATTACAGATTTAGCTGCTAACTTATCTATTTTAACAATATCGGACGTGTACCATAAACAAAAATTATTGCATATTTTAAATTTTAATTACAAAGTACACATATCTACGCTGCCATAATTACTAATATTTTGCTGCTCAATTGATCGATAAGCCGAAATATTTTTCGTTTGTTTAAAAAATCATGTCAATTTCCACGTGTTTCTGCAGAAAATGTATGTGCAAATTTTATTCTTAATAAAAATTGTAGATTTGCGTAGAAGAAATATGGTAGTAGATATCCATTATGAATAGAGAAACAGTAATTATTAATATATACTCAATTAAGTTGAAAGTTATTTAAAAATTGTTTTTACAAAATCCATGGTATATTTAGTTGAAAATTATTATAACTAGTTATTTTAATAATATCTATTGTATCTATTGTTATATACGTTATACATGTTTTCCTTTTAGCAAATAAAACATGCAAAATAAGAATTTCATCCATATGAGAGAAAAATTAAGGAAAAAATCTGTATGGTAACATTTTTGGTAAATAAAGTTAAGTATTAAAAAGTTGTTTAGTTTTCGTTAATATATATATACTATATTTTTTATGTTGTCATTTTCAACAATATAAATTGTATTAAATATTTATTTGATGAAATGTAAAGCTACTCCTGCGATGCAATAAAAAGGACCATGAAATATATAAAATATAGTAAGGGTACATAACGACATACATGATATCTTTATGTTCTTTTCTTTTTTTATATATATCTTTTTCATTAATATTTAATAAAGTATATTTATATTAAATGAATATTTACATTATAATAATTGTAGTTTATAACACATTACTTCCATGGATGGATAATAAGAATCTTTGAAACATCAAGATGGCAGTGCAGTTAATCTAACGGGTGCAAAATAATTAGAAGTGGAATTCTTTTTAAGTAGTTTTTAAAAGTACAAAAGGAAGTGATGTTTTTATCGTGTATTTAAAAAACTAACTAACTGTTCTAAACTAACTAATTAATAAATATTAATTTTACGTACTGTTGCTAACAAAGCAACTAACAAATTAATCATTTTAGTATATACGTTAAATAAATAACATGATAGAAAAGAATGAAGAAAATAGCGATAATGACAGTCATCTTGTCAGAATACGATTAATAGCTGACAAAAGAACATTTTTGGAGAAACAATTTCTTCAGGTAATTCTTTCTTGATAATTATATGTTTATATAATAATTGTTTTATGGGGTTATGATTTTCGAACTATCTTTTCATTCATTATTATGTATAACTGAATTATTTGATATTTTACTACTTCAATCATAATTTTGTCTTTTTGTTCTTAGCTTTATATTTCTCTTATATACACAGTTTTATTTCTTTAACAATATCAGTGATTTACAGAATACATATAATTTACATATAAATATAATTGTATAAATATTTTAATTGAAATAATATACTTAATTTTAAGGTTCAAGAAGAAATAAAAATATGTTTTGCACAATTGGCGCAAACATTGTATGCTAGAGAAAAACAACTTCTACGACAATCAGAAGCAATTTATAGACAGCAAGTATCTTTGGCATTGTCCAGTCAAGAAATTCTTCCTCCGTCTATAGCAATATTAAATGACAAACATACCTTGGAAGAACAAATAAAACAATTTGGAAGAATAGAGCTCGTAGGATCTAATACAACAGCTGTAACTAATTTGGAACCTTATAAAATTGAAGAATATCAAGACATAAATAAAGATCATGTCTGTTTTGATAAATCTATCAAGAATACAGGAATTGTTCCTTCTAATACAGAAGTTGAATTTTCTTGTATGACAGAAGATGAAAACATAGATGATGTTTCTAACGAATTAAAGTCATCTAGTATAATAAACTTATCAGGAAATTCCAGTCATATTTCCGATTTTCAAGAGAAAGATTCTGAAAATGATATTAATCATTCCTCGAAGATAGGTACAGAATCACAAAAAAATGATTTTAATCATCAGACTACTGAAGATGTAAATGAACAAGAGATTGCAAAAAATTATAGGAATTCAAAAAGAAATATCATAGAAGAACAACATAATTCTCATAGACATACAGAGCAAGTCCAACAATGGTTAGATCAAATACTTTTAGAGACAGAAATAGAACCAACTATTCACGAAGTGGAAAAATTACCTGAAATATCAGATGCTTATGTTTGTACCAAGTTCCACTTAGAAACATGAAAGCTGTATTTAATTAAATAACTTGCTCAGCCCACCGTTTTTACAATTTATCTTTAATTTTTCATAAGCTAAGGAACCTCAATTTGGGAACAATTTTTTACTGTTTGAATTATTTGTATTTCACTTTATTTATTTATATGTACTAATAATAATTAATTACAAAATGTTCTTTTTAGTAGTTCAAGAATAATAAATAAGTTTGTATTTTAATTAATACTGAGGAGCTGCTAATCATATTAAAATAATTTTTTATATTAATTAATATTATTTATTAATTTATAACTAATATTTATGGTTATAATTTATATTTCATTATGTACCAATGATAAAATATTTTATTAGTTTATTTTTAATATAAATCGTTTTCCTTTTTTATAAAAAATTAAACAAAAAATATCAATATCTTCAGTTTAATAATAATTGATAAAAAATCAGTTTCAGTAGTTCTATGTATACTCCTTAACTTTTTATTACTTAATACATATTATACCTCATGCAACAGTTCGTGCTTTTATATACATCTACAAAATATTTGTTTAGTAAATATTAATAAATGCAATTTGAATTTTAAATATATTAAAAATATGTGTTAATAAAAAGTATGTTTGTATATGTGTGATTAAAATTTCATGTAATTCTATCTTTGTTTTATTAAAGTTATTTGTACAGTAATATAGTTGTATTGCTTTTGAGTTTACTTGTAACGAACCACTGGGTAACTTAATTTGATTATTGACAGTTAGTAGAAAAAATAATTGAGCACCTTTGTATAGTTTATTAATTACTAAATAAACAAATAAATACAGATAACCACCACCTTTTGTATGTACAGACGCCAGCGTAGTAGTGTCAATCGGGATTTCATGTCCAGCATCGGGATCATCTTTTTCAGGAACCGATTCGTTAACAAAAAATTTGCGACTAGGGTCGAATTTGGGTCATAAGAGAGAAAATGGATTGTGAATATACCTCCCTTGGAACCTCAATAGGATAAGTTTAATCCATCATTTTAACGATACTTGGTAGAAGACCCAATCTTCGAAAAAAGAGGGTACAAAAGCACTATCTTTGGTAAAAGTTATGGGTACACAGAGCTGTGAAAGAACTTGTTCATACATTTCTAGAGACTGTGGACAAGATGCTCCATTTCCCTATATATATATATATAATAAAAGATTATTTTTGATTATTATGACTAAATGTCAGTTGATGAAATATTACAAAAATATAAATTATTTAATATTTTTATACGTACATGAGTCATGTATTTTCCTGTAGATTTCAGAACTCTCATTGAAGAGTTTAAAATCAGTCTAATAAAATCCCATGCATCCCCATGTGGGGTTGGGCTAATTGGTATGTCTGTAAGGTCACCGAAAACATAATCAAATTGTCGGCCTTCTTCAATCATGTGTGCTAGAGTTTTTGCACAATCTCCAACAATAATCTACAAGTTTTCAGTCTTTCATAAAAAATTCTAGTAATTTTACTTGTTGCTGCGAAAATGAATCTTCTATTCACAAAATTTACCTCATAATTGTCTCCCTTTCTTTTATCCAAACAATTTCCACATATGCTTCTCATATGCTGACTACAGGCTTTTATTACAACATCATCAATCTAGAAAAAGAAGATTAATTTTTGTTTTTGCAAAACAATTTGTTAATATACATAATAATACGACTTTTTAAGTTTTTGTTGGCATACCTCTAACATAGTTACGAATTTTGGTTTCTCCTTAAGCAACTCCCAGAGTAAGCCACCATCTCCTCCTCCTAAAATAACTATTTCTTTCCCCGTGTAATTTTCTTTTCCACGTTGCATCAAAGTTTCTGTATATATCAGATCTGCTTCAGATATATCTAAAAATTGCAAAATTTAATTTCAAAGATACTGCAATTTTGAATATAATTTATAATTTGTTCTTCTTACTTTGTAATTCATCAAGAACCAATAGATTTCCCAATGATTTTGAATGAACAATTTGCACTTTTTGGTAGGGAGAACGTGCTTCAAAAACCAGCTTATCAATGTCATATTCAAGTAGTCTATCATCTTAAAAAAAAAAAAAGAAATAATTTTATTATTATATTGAAAATTTACAAAATTTAAATAATTGCATCAGAAAGCAATTAATAGATGCATGCAAAGCTTGTAGAAAAATAAACTTTTAATTATTAAAACTAAAATTAAGAAGAATGAAAGTACTGAATATCTAGGAGTTTTATATATGGATTACTACATCTATTATAGTATTTGCCTATAATTGATCTCATATGTGTTTGATGTAGCATGTAAATTGGAGTAACGAACAATACTATCCATTCAACATATTTATAAAAATAATAAATCCCACAGAGTTATAACAATCATTCAAGATTATGAGATTGATCTTTATAATTTTTAATATTTGCCGCTATTTTCAAGCAACTTATTACATATATACATATAC